TTTCGGGACCTGCCAAATGGGGATGATAAGAACACTTGTCCTGCCTGCTTCTCAGGGCAGCTGGGAGGGTGAGCTGAGGCCATAAAGGAATAGAAAGCCATCCTTTCCTTCATGCGCTTCCTGTAGGTCTCCGGGAGGGGATGCCAGGGAGGAGGGGGCACCGAGGCAGGGTGCTGTCTCCGTGGCCTGGGCAGTCTGTCCTAGCGGCCTCAGAGCAGCCCAGCTCAAGGCCCCGTTCCAAATGGGTGTAAGTTCAGGGTTCACTGGTCCTGAGAACCGGGGAAGGCGGACTCCTTGAGGGGCTAGGAAAAGGAGAGCAATGAGTAGGTGCCCGGGAAGATGGAGCTGGACGCCCTAGTGCATGAGGAGGCCTGAGAACAGATGTAGCAAGAGGTGCTCCGCCTTCTGGAAAGCACAGTGGTTAAGAGCAGGGCTCAAGGTCTGATGATCCTGGGTGTGAATTGGTCACCAGCCTCGACAATAGCCTCACTCCCTCGCCTTCACATGGGGGGGAGGGGTCACAGCAGCACCACTCCCGGGGCTTCCTGGGAACGTGTGAGCTAATGCAGTGAAAGTATTTATATAGCGTTTGGGCTCTTGTGTGCACCCAATCAATTATTATTTATCACCCGGAATTAAAACCATTGGAAAGTATAACTCGCTGCAGACCTAAGAAGCAGCCGGAACCAGTGCAGAAGGCTGGCGGGGTGGGGGGGGGGGCAGCAGGGTGGACTCCATTGCTGCCTTTGACCTGCAAATGTGACTCTGAGCTTCCTTGTGGCCACGTCAAAAAGGGAAATGTGATCAGTTGTTGAACTTGAATTATTAAGAATGAGGAAACAGCCCAGTGCCTCAGGGGAAGCAATGTTGTTCTTTACCCTGAATTCTCCTGGGCATTTCTCACTGAGCAGGGGGCTTCACAAAGGGCACCGGAGAGAGGCAGTGGGTGGGCCGTGGCTCATGGGCCGGGATACACACGGCATCGCAGGTATGATTTTCACGTGGAGCCGAGTCTAGGCATCTTGAAGGAAAGATGAAGGGGAACCTGGCAGGGTGGCTCAGGGAAGGCAGCTCTGTAGGAGCATCAAGAATATGACGAAGGTCTGAGCTCTCCGGCTTCAAAGCTAAGGCTTAGAGAGCTCCAAGGGGTGAGTGGCGGGACTGGGGACCGCTTAATCCCTCAGGGAAGCAGGGGGACCCCAAGACACTGCTCACTTGGGGTCCTTGGAGGTCCAAACTTCCCACCTGTGTGGCCTTGGGCAAGTTGCTTCACCTCTCTGAACCTCCACTTTGTGCACCTGCAAGTTAAAGTTACCCCTTCAGGGCTGTCGGGAGCATTGCCTGGAGCCTGGCGGAGCAGTGCTGGGCATGGACTGAGCCCTCAAATAAATGTTGGCTATGTGTATATACACATAGAATGGGTCTACAGTTATACTTTCTTCAGGAGCTTCCTGTTTCCTTGTTTAAGGAACACAAATAACTAGAACTTTATACTTCCTTTTAATTGACAGCCGGCCAAGGGTTCGTTGTCGCTTTACCTGACCCTTCCCAACAACACGAGGGAGGCATTCTTACCCCTATTTGAGAGGCGAAGAGGTCAGAGCAGCTTAGAGAAGCAAAATCCTCGCCTGTGTCACCCTTGATCCGCCCTTGAACCCAGAAGTGGGAGATAAGTGGGCAGGACTCAGCTGGTCCTGCGGCCTTCCCGGCCCCTCCTCCCTTCCCAGGCCAAGTTCATTTTAGGAGGGCCTTAAGAGTAGAATCCTGGGGCATAGCAACCACGGGAACAGCGCGGTGCTTGCCCTGTTCTAAGAACTTTACGCGTGACTTTCAAGCCTCACAGCCATCCATGAGTTAAGAGACTGTGAGGATCACACCCGTTTTCCAGATAAGATAACTGAGGTGCAGAGAAGCTAACTGACTTGCCCGTGCTCACAGGAGGTTCGTGCAGACCCAGGATTTGGGAGCTGGCAGCCTGGCCAGGCCCCAGCGTCTGTGTCCTTGACCCCTCCGCTGTACCGCCAGGGCTAGCGCAGAAATGGGCTCAGGCAGGAGGGATGTGGGTCGGGACAGGCCGAGGGCGGGTATGTGATGAAACACTCTCCCGGGAGGGCCAGGGGGCTCGGGGGGAGGGCACAAGCCAACTGGGGACACTGACTCACTCGATTCCTAGTTGGCCGAGGGGGTAGACGGATGGACATGCCCAGAGGATGTCAGCGCCACCTTGTGCCGCCTCAGCCTGCCCGCCCCCCGCCCTGCTCACAGATGAGAAGACATGGCCTCTGACCCCGAGCTGCTCCCGGCCCAGCCAGAGAGCCAGACGTGACGTTATTTGTGTCTAGGGCATCTCTACAGATGCTGTGCAAAGTGCTGGATCCCCACTCCTCTTCACTCTCCTCTCGGGGCTCAGACGCGCCCCCCCCCCGCCGCCCATCGCCACCACCGACAGCCAATGAAGGAGGCATGCTGGGCCCAGGGAGACGATCCTGCCTGCCCCAAGAAGCGTAGGACTGATGCCCAGGCCGGGGGACACCCCCTCCAGCCCGCTCCGGGCTTCCTGGCCTTGCTCCGGCCCCAGGGCACCTCTGTCCTGTGCCTTGTGACTGGCTGTGAGCTCCTGTGGGAAGGGACCCTCGGGAAGCCATTTCCTCATCCCTGCAGCCTGCACGGCCCGGCGTAGGGAATGAGGACATAGTCATCTTGTTCTCAAGGAGACGCTTGGTGACTGTCATTGAACCATGATTTCAGGGGCAGCATGTAGGGTTGGTGAGAGCCCTTGTTCCGCAGACCTGGTCATGACCACCAATCATATTTCCCCCCAGTTATGGGGGTGGGGCACACTGTTCCCATCTGCTCTCTGCATTCCAGGGGTCACAGGAAGCCCCGGGGGACCCCTCACTGGGCACATCTGGACTATCTTCCCAGCCTGCAGAAGTAGGATGATACCCAAGTGGGGTGACACTTGAATTCTGAGTCCCTTGAACCCAGAATGATGCTCAAGGGGCTTGTCCAAGTGGCTTTTATTTAATAAAAGCAAAAGATGACTTTTCTGCCATAAAATACAACCTCAAGGCCATTAAGGACCAGCAGGGCATTTCCACAGTGGAAGTTGAGTTATTTATAATGAAGCATCGATCAGCAGTCTCGGGAGCTGAACATCTGGTTTGGAGGCCATGTGTCAGGATGGGAAGAGCTTGGGTGGTGGGAGGTGCCTGGGCGTGGGGCTGTCAGAGCCCCGTGTTCAAATCCCATCTTGGAATTCAGTGGTTTCTGCCCCTCTCCCCAACCCGGGCCGTAACGGAATCACTAATATTTTTTGAGGGTTTATTGTGCGCCAGCACCGAACTGATGCGCCATATTCCCGGGGCCTGCGATTTTTACATCCATTCTGCAAAGGAGTGAGTATCCCCATTTTACTGATGAGGAAGCAAAGGCTCAGAGAGGAGTCATGGATCCAAAGCCACATAGCTGGCAGGTGGTTGAGGTTGGGTTTGAACCATGCCCGCAGGCGCGCCTCCAAGACCTCCCAAGCTTGCCAACTCCCCGGAATCTCAGTGCATTCCTCCTTAGATTGGGAAAATCCCCAACAAGGTTGCTCTGGGAATTGGCCCAAGTACCACTTAAGTTGCCTGGCACATGGTAGGTGCTCGGTGAATGTATTCATGTCCGTCTCCTCCCCAGGCTGTCGCGCCGGCGGGTCTGCGTGTGATCCACAGCCCCCACAGGGCCCGGGCAACACCCAGGGGGAAGGAGGCTTCTCTCTCTGGGCCTCGGTTCCCCAGATCCAAAACGGGAGTCACCACACCTGCCTCAAAGAGGCCCTGGGAAGACAAGACGAGGGGAGTAGTGGGTGTTCAGGGCCATTCCTCTTCTGTCTTCCCAGTGACTGGAATGGTGCTTTCTGGGGCTGTCCTGGCAGCAGACTTGCATGGAGCTCTCCGCACACTCCCGCCCCGCCCCACACCCCCTTCCCCCCGTGCCTTCCCCTACCCCTGCCCCTGATGCAGGCCCTCCTCTGTGGATGTGCTTGGGTGGGGCAGGCGTTGGGGTGAAGGCGCCGGCAGTTCATCTGGGTTTGAGGGGCTCCACCACTCCCCAGCCTCCGCCCTTGGGCATCACTTAGCCTTTCTTTTTTTTTTTTAATTTTTTATTGTTATGTTAATCACCATACATTACATCATTAGTTTGTGATGTAGTGTTCCATGATTCATTGTTTGTGCATAACACCCAGTGCTCCACGCAGAATGTGCCCTCTTTAATACCCATCACCAGGCTAACCCATCCCCCCACCCCCTCCCCTCTAGAACCCTCAGTTTGTTTTTCAGAGTCCATCGTCTCTCATGGTTCGTCTCCCCCTCTGACTTACTCCCCTTCATTCTTCCTCTCCTGCTATCTTCTTTTTCTTTTTTCTTAAAATATGTTGCATTATTTGTTTCAGAAGTACAGATCTGTGATTCAACAGTCTTGCACAATTCACAGCGCTCACCATAGCACATACCCTCCCCAATGTCCATCACCCAGCCACCCCATCCCTCCCACCCCCCACCACTCCAGCAACCCTCAGTTTGTTTCCTGAGATTTAAGAATTCCTCCTATCAGTGAGGTCATATGATACATGTCTTTCTCTGATTGACTTATTTCACCCAGCATAACACCCTCCAGTTCCATCCACGTCGTTGCAAATGGCAAGATCTCATTCCTTTTGATGGCTGCATAATATTCCATTGTGTATATATACCACCTCTTCTTTATCCATTCATCTGTCGATGGACATCTTGGCTCTTTCCACAGTTTGGCTATTGTGGACATTGCTGCTATAAACATCGGGGTGCACATACCCTTTCGGGTCCCTACATTTGTATCTTTGTGGTAAATACCCAGTATCACTTAGCCTTTCTGAGCCTCTGCTTCCTCCTCTGTAAACTGGGAGCAGTGACAACAGATCCGATCTCTGGCTCTATCCCTGGATCGAACCGCTACCTCTCTGTCCTTTCCTGCAGGTGTTTCTGGCTGTGCCCAGGGACTGACTGGCCAAGGACCCCCGTCGGAGAGCCTTGGACACCCCAACAGTGAACGGTGAGGGTCTTCTGTGGTCTGAACAAATGTCTCCAAAGGGCACTGGTGGGGGACCCGTGACGAGGTGGAAGCACTTGGAGAATGCCAGCACGGGGTTTGGGAAACATGGCTGGAACCAAGTTCCCAGCACTACCGCACCCCTCCTTCATTGCACCATCATTGCGATTTTACCATGAATTGAGGAATCTGATGAATGTTCGTTTCCCTCACTAGACTGTAAGGGGAAGGGGAGGGTCCCAGAGAGGCAGCAAAACAGGGTTGTCGCGAGAACAGACTCTGAAGGAGGGGTGTGGCTCCCGGCTCCGCCTCTTCTCCGTTGTATAACCTCGGGCAAGTGACTCAGGCTGTCTCCACCTCAGCTTCCCTGTCTGTAAAATGGGGGTTGTAGTTAAGTAAGTACTTGAGCCGTCAAGATACCAAACTGGCCTGGCTCAGAGTCAGGCAGAACCCTGTCGGCCTTGCTGGAGTTGGCCAAGCTCTTAGAGCCAGTCCCCTCACGCGTCCTCTACTGACCCCTGTCTCCCTTCACAGAGAATGGGCGACGAGGATTACAACACCTCCCTCGCCTATGATGACTACTCGGATGATTTTGACCCCATTATGGTCTTGGAGGAGTCTTCTCCCCTGGAAGGCAAGGTGGCCAGGATCTTCCTGGTGGTGGTCTACAGCATCGTCTGCTTCCTCGGGATCCTGGGCAACGGGCTGGTGATCATCATCGCCACCTTCAAGATGAAGAAGACGGTGAACACCGTCTGGTTCCTCAACCTGGCCGTGGCGGACTTCCTGTTCAACATCTTCCTCCCGATCCACATCGCCTACGCCGCCATGGACTACCACTGGGTCTTCGGGACGGCCATGTGCAAGATCAGCAACTTCCTGCTCATCCACAACATGTACACCAGCGTCTTCCTGCTGACCGTCATCAGCTTCGACCGCTGCATCTCTGTGCTCTTCCCCGTCTGGTCGCAGAACCACCGCAGCGTGCGGCTGGCCTACGTGGCCTGCATGGTCATCTGGGTGCTGGCTTTCTTCCTGAGCTCTCCGTCCCTGGTCTTCCGGGACACGGCCCACGTGCATGGGAAAATATCCTGCTTTAACAACTTCAGCCTGTCCGCGGCCGGCTCTGCCCCGTGGCCCACTCACACCCGCCTGGACCCCGTGGGCTTCGGCCGGCACATGGTGGTGACCGTGACCCGCTTCCTCTGTGGATTCCTGGTCCCCGTGCTCATCATCACGGCCTGCTACTTCACCATCGTCTGCAAGCTGCGGCGCAACCGCCTGGCCAAGACCAAGAAGCCCTTCAAGATCATCGTGACCATCATCATCACTTTCTTCCTCTGTTGGTGTCCCTACCACACGCTCTACCTGCTGGAGCTCCACCACGCCGCCGTGCCCGGCTCCGTCTTCAGCCTGGGTCTGCCCCTGGCCACGGCCATCGCCATTGCCAACAGCTGCATGAACCCCATTCTGTACGTCTTCATGGGCCAGGACTTCAGAAAGTTCAAGGTGGCCCTCTTTTCCCGCCTGGTCAACGCTCTGAGTGAGGACACGGGCCACTCCTCCTACCCCAGCCACAGGAGCTTTACCAAGATGTCGTCGATGAACGAGAGGGAGACCAGCATGCTTTGAGGCTCATCTGGGAAGGCCCGATGGACAGACACTCCGGCCTTGGAGGCCCCGAGCTCTGCCTTCTCAAGACCATGGCAGAAACCTCTTCAGGACCCACTGATGCCCGCTGTAGTCTGCACGGTGCTGACCTGCGTTTTGAGCTGGGAGTCCAGGGCCTGGAACTCCTTTCTTTGAGTGGCCCGGTGGACAGGGCATGCCGTGTCCTCTCAACCTTGGACTCTCTCTGTGAGGACCTGGGGCCTGGGGGAGGCGGGGGAGGGAGAAGAGCTAAGGCCCTCAAAGGAGGCAGCCTGAAGGTGCTCACCCTCGAACTTCCCAGGGTGATGGTGCTTTGGGGGCCACAGCTATTTGGGGGATGAGGGTGGTGCCAGCCCCTCGCCCCAGGCCCCCGCTCTCCCCTTGCCTTTGTTGCCGGAGGTCCGGGCCATGGCGGGCAGCGCCACCCACAGCTTCCACCCCGTCCCCGGGGACTGTCCCTTCCTTCCCTGGCCCACTGGCTCTGACTGCCGGTGCTCAGAATTAAGCACACCAGGTCAGGGGGCCAGGGAAGGAGGGCCTGTCCTCCTCAGCTTCCTCAAAGCCTTGCCAAAATCAGCTTCAGGAAGCAACCTGGGAGCATCCTGCAGGTTGAAGAGAAGGTCCAAGGGCTCAGTCACTGAACTCAGCAGAGCCTGCAGCCTGGGCCCTTGTCGTGTGCCTCTGAGATGCAGGCCGTGGGGACGCCACAGGCGTGGAACCCCTCCACGTGCAGCCCTGTTGCCTTTTCTCAACGAGGACTGACACCTTCCTGTGCTACAGTGTCATCGTCCCACTTAGAGATGACAAAGCCGAGGCTCCGTGGGGGTGGGGCGGGGAGTAACTCACCCAGCGACGCGCAGCTAGCCAGAAGCAGAGTTAAGATGTGAACCCAGCTCTGTCTGGCTCCAGATCCTCTGGTTTTTTTTTTAATGACGATTGTATCCATTGAGAATATTCTAGACTCTCATGATAGCCTGCATTTATTAGCACCCTTTACCCTAAACACTGTCCATGTATTATCTCGTGTATTCCCCCTGGCAGGCCTGAGTTCGGTACACGTTAGTACTGCCCTTCTACATAGGAGGGATAGCTGAAGCTCAGAGAGGTTAAGTAACTTCCCTGAGGGCATCCAGCAGGTCTCTGCCAGAACCTGGATTTGAAACTAGGTCGGCCTGGCTCAAAGAAAGCTGCAGAATCAGGGTTTGGAGAGAGACTTGGGGTTTTGACCATAAATATTGATTCCTCGGCAGATTAATATAAACCTCTTAATAACCCATAAGCCAGCCTTGCAAACAGTTTTCCACAGTGACCCAACATGGCAAAGAAAGTACACTCGGCCTCCAGTCCCCTGATGCCCGTCCACTCGTGCCCACCATGTTTCCCATCTGCTGCACCCCCCGAGACCTCCAGGGAAGGCGGCGGGGGTACAAAAGCTGGGCCGGAGGCAGTCTCTGGTGGGCCCGAGGCCCTCTGGCCTCCCAGTGTCCACATTCTCTTGTCTTCCACGTGTTGTCGTTGTGAAGCCAATTCCCTGACAAGATGCAAGGAACAGATGTGATGTCTACACAGCGCTGGGCAGGTTCCCGAGGCCATGGGCTGTTTGGAAATCACACCTCATTAAGAGACAGACTGTTCCTTCCCTCCGTGGGTCATTGCGCTTATGATGAGGCAGCTCGGAATTGACCCCAAGTCTGGGCGTCCGGTGGCTTCAAGAAATCTAAACTTGGGCCATCGGAGAGCAAAAAACGGAGCTTGAAAGCTTGCCCAGTGCTTCTTGTCACCTCCCACCGCAGCGGCACAGGTGAAGTGGCTAAGGCACGAGACTGCATGGGACGTCAGGCCCCAGAGACGGTCCTCAACCACCCAGGCTCTGAACCCCAGGTGCTGCTTGCTCGGGCTGGGGCCCTCGCTCCTCCTGGGCTGCATGCTGGCCGGGCCGGGCCAGGGAGCCAGGAACTCATTTTGTCCTTGGAAAAGCTGATGAACAGGAGTAAAATTCAAACCAGCTGTTTCCTCCTTAGGGTCAGGCCGCTTCCTGGCTGCCCCACCAGGAGTTTCTCATTAAATCCTGAAATGCAACCATGACATCCTCCTGCATCTTGTCCTTGTTAAGGACAAAGTTGCTTTTGAATAAAGAGACTGAGGTGAGAGTGGGGCGCTGAGCTGGACGTTCCTGCCCCCCAAACCCCTTTGCCATCCTCCTCTACGTCAGAACAGCAGGCCAGGCTCAGAGAAGTGCAGCGTGCTGTCCAAAGTCACATAGCAGTGCTGGGAGGCAGCAGCAGGAGGAAGCCTGAACCTCCCTACCAGTCCCCAAATTTAGGACTTCAAAGAATCTGCATTTTGAAAAGCATTCCCTCCACTTATTTCAATTTCTTAGCAGCCAAGGACAGTAGGTTGTTAGTAACTGACTCAAGATAGCCCCCACCCACCCACCCAGCCAGCCATTTACATAACCACACCCACCCAGCCAGTCATTTACATAACCATTTCTAAACCCACCCATTCATCCATGCCCTAAAAATCTATTTACCACCTTCTCTTTGCCACTGCTGTGGTAGGCACCGGGAATGCAAGGGTGAGCAGGGCATACACAGCCTCTGTCCTCAGGAGCTCCTCCATTGGTTAGTGGGAGAGACAGCCAATAGTTTTTTAAAAACCGCACCCTTAATAGAAAACTGCCACGCTAAGCGCTACACACCTATTAGAGAGAGATCTGAGCCTGTCCAAAGACCAGGGAAACCTCCTCGGGGAAGAGACGCTTGAGTTGCGACGTGTAGGATGGGTAGGTGCTGATTCGGTGGCAGGAGTGGAGGGGGGGGAGTGGGAGAGGGTGCTCCAGGTGGCCGGAACAGCACGGGAGGAGAGAGTGATGGCGAGGGACTGAAGGGGATGGGGGCTGCCGCCCAGGGAGTAGAATGAGCCCAGAGCAGATAGGATGGAGAAGAGAGCAGGGGGGCCCGTGGGCAGGGCAGGCCACGCTCCGATCTGCATCTTGCCATGATGCCCAATGCCCGGGGCTGCTCTGGGCAGGGCAGGATGGGAAGGGCCGAAGGGGAAGCCGGGAGGATGGGAGCAGAGGTAGAGCTCCAGAGAAGTGGACTATTCAAGAGATACCTAAAAGCTACCCAAGCTCTCTCAGGGGAGCCGTGAGCGGGAAGCCAACCCAGGGCCCATTTCAGCTGCACAGAGACCTCGGAGCATTGCTTTATTGATGGAAATTAATTGTAAATATTATTCAAATTTACCTCCCAGTGCACAATTACATTTCTCAGGGGAGCCCTCTGAGCACATAATAAAGCCCTATAAATAATACATATATTAACCTAAGAGGAACAGAGGCATATTAATGTGCACTTGTGGGCGGCGGCTGGGGTGAATTTAGGCAGACAAGACGCTAAGTGCTTGGACTAGGGTTTGACTTTGGAGGTCACCCGAGCTCTGTCCCGGGGAGCTTCCGGAAGTCTCTCCCCCCGGGGGGGCAGCCAGTTACTGCCCAAAGGCCTGGTCAATGGGCAGGTGCAGGCAAGGAGACAGGTAGTCAAGGGTGCAGGAAGCACAGGTGCATTGGACGCTTATCTTGTGCCCAAAGCTTCAAGAAAGCACGACCCCTAATAATAATAGTAGGTCATATTAATTGAGCATGCCCGGGGTTTGGGTATCCTCCAAGTGCTTTGGTCTCATTATCTCATTGAATCCTTACGACAAACTTTGTGGTAGCAGCCATTCCTAGCCCCATTCGCCGTGAGGAAATGAAGGTTCAGAGAGGTGCAGTGTCTTGCCCAGCGTCACACAGCTAATAAGTGACAGAGCTAGGATTCCAACCCAAGTGTGTTTGACTCGAAAGCAACTTGGAAACACAGACTGTCCTCTAACAAGACTCCTCCCTGGAGAGAGGTAGGCAAGCATACGCTCTCTGTCCAGTGTCAGATTTTAAGGAGGTGGAAACCAGGGGTGGGGGGGATCTGACGGATTGCTTTTTCCTCTCGGAGGAAGGAAATGGTGTCTGGATGGGCTTGTCATTTCCTCACAGCCCTAGGAATCTTAAAAACCACATCCCTTCCCATCCCCCCCCTCCTTTTACAGACAGTGAAACTGAGGTTCTTTGCAGATCAGAATGGGACCTCCCACCTCCCTGACTGTTGGGACATGAGCTGCATGGGAAAATGCCCACGTGAGCCACTTTTCTGAGCACCGCTGTTCTAGAACAGACCTGGGCGTTCACCGAGCTGCCAGTTTGTCAGTCAGGGCTTTGGTGCTGAGCGGCCCCGAAGGACCCCTGCTCGGGATCTGGGGGGGGGGGGGGGGGGCGTCATTGGGGCATTTCCAGTGGAATCCTATAAAGGGAAAGCAGGGGACCTTGGGAAACCCTGGTACAGGGCAGAGACAGGCCATGTTTGTTATCCCTCACAGGTGTCCTGCATAGGGGTGACGATGCGCTCTATCTGGATCTAGGTGGTAGGTACGTGGCTATCTTCATCAAACATCCGTCATTTGTCTATACATATATGATTATTGCACTTTACTGTAGTAAGTTAGGCCTCAATAAAAGTATTTTGAAAAATAAATTTTAAAATGTAAAATTTATGAACTAATTCATGGTGCCTTCAGGAGGGACTCCCCACTCCCTTTGGCACTCTGAACAGAATCAGATTCAAGAGAGCAAGTCAGGGGGAGACTATGTAGTCTCAGCAGGGTCCATCCAGGGAGGCAGCATCTCAGGAAGGACTGAGCCTTCCCAGGGGTCACCCCAGCCCTGTCCCCATAGCCTTTGAGGGCTACGACAGGGTCATGTGGGCTCAGGTGTCAGAATGCTCAGGCTTGAATCCCAGTTCCACCATTGACATCGGCTAGGGTTAGGGCTTCGGTTAAGGCTCTATGACTTGGACAAGCAGCTCAACATCTCCAAATCTTCAGTTTTCTCATCTGTAAAATGGGTATAAGAAGAATCTGCAGCTCACGGGGTTGCCGTAAGGATTCAAGATGTCACACAGAAGCACTTAGCAGGTGCCGGGCTTGCATACGCCACCCACTTTCATCTGGAAGCACGTCAGCCTCCTCCCTGGTCTCCGTGCTCCCGGCCTTGCCCCCCACAATCCACCCTCCATGAAGCAGCGGGAGTGAGCTTCCATCATGGAGCCCAGCAATCCAAACCCCTTACAGGGGCTTGCGAAGTCCTAGAGGATTGACACTACCTCCTCCATCTTCAGCTCGTGCTGCTCCCCATCCAGGCGTCCCTCCCTGCCTTTGTATTTGCTGTTCCCAGACCACTGATGGCATGACTGGGCCCCCCTCCTCCTTCCTGCCCCAGCCTCTCCTGAGCGAGGCCCTTCCTGATCCCTCTGACCCCTCCCCGCGGGTAAAGCAGCCCCATCCCTATTCACTATCAGATCCCCTGTTTTCCATCCCTGACGCTACTTCCTGCCATCTGGAAGTTTATATATTTGTGTTTAGCTGCCTTTAGTCTGTCCCTCTGCTGGGCGGAGGAGCCCTTGTCTGTCTGGTGCGCCTCTGTATCCTTGGCACCCAGAGCGGAGCTCAGCCCAGGAAACGTGCTCACGATCCTTTGCTGTACAAGTGGGGAAATAACCATAAGTGGACGTTCCTTTGATCAAATCATCACCATCATCGAGTTTCAAGACGATCACTATTACAATACGCTGTTTCCAAAGTGTTTTCACTTTTTTCTTTTCCTATCCCAAGGAAAGTTGCGGGAGGGGACTATCGCCCATTTCACAGACGTGGATACTGAGCCCTCCCTGCCCCAACCCAGGGTCGCTTGGTTCAGAAGTGGAGAAGCCAGCATGGAGGTCTTGCCCCGGTACCATCAGGAGTGCTCCCAAACCAAGGAGGTTTCCATTCAGTGCTTTTATCTCCCCTGGCCTTTTCCTTTCCCCTTTGTCTGATTAATTGCAGCCTGAAAATAAAGGAACCAGATGCCTCCCCTCCCACCCACCACACCCCCCACCCCTTGCATTGTTTTGTAGTTCTTTTCCGGACCAGGACTCTGTTAAGGATTTGGCTGGTACTACCGTGACCACAAACTTCCTGTGTTTATCCTTCCCTTTAGAAATCATGGATGAAGCAATCAGCTGGGTGCCAGGTCTGTGGTGGGCACTGGGCGAAGCTACGGCAGAAAGTCCAGCTAGACACCTGATGCTCAAGGACCCTTGGAGCCCAGAGGTGGACCCCAGGATCTTCTTTTCCCTGGTTTCCACCATGCAGCTGTTTGGCGTCCGTGCAGCAAATATCGGGATGATTGAATGAGTTTCTGGTTGGCGCCCAGACGTTGGAGCTGTGGAGGAAGGACAGACACACACACACACACACACACACACACGGGGAGGTGGAAAAGGGGGCTCTCCACTGTGGCTGGTGGGTGGTAATAGCTGGTGAGCCCCTGGTTGATGGAAGGCAGCTAATATGATGCCCAGGCCACGGCTGAGACCCTGGTGCTTGACTGGGAAGAGCTGACTCTTGATGGCATTTCAGGCACCATGACAAGCAACCAGAGGCAATGCCACATTCATCATCTCATCTCATCCTCATTAAAAACCTGCTGGCAAAAAACCACCTTCCCTTCAGAGGTGAAGACGCTGAAGTTCAAAGGGGTCAAGGACGTTTCCCAGAACCACACTGATAGCCACCCATTGATTTTTTTGTTGAGCACCTATTATGTGCCCCAGACTGTGCTGGGCTCTGGGGACACCTGAGCAGGCACTGCCCTAACGTTCATGAATCTCACGACATGTTAGTATGTACAAAAGCTGGGATTTGAACCCACGTCTGGGTAGCTTTGTGGCTTCTTCTACTCCTCCACTAGGCACGCTGTTTCTTGAGTTGCAGAACCTAGGTACAGAGGAATCGGTACGGAGTGGAGAGAAAAGCTTTCTGTTGCAACGCCTGAAACCTCTCGGGAGTTAGAGAGAGAAAACTCACATCTTGGCTGGGAACTGAGATCGATTCTGGGAACCAGGAAGCCACTGTCAGCAACTGCTCTTCCCTCCCTGACTCCTCAAAATAGGACAGTGATTGATCCCCCAGCTCTTTCCCTCCTTTGAAAGACCAGCAGGGAGATAGCACCACTTAACCCAAGAGAATGGCATGCTCCAGCTGGACTTGCAGGAACTGGGGCAGACTGACAGAACATGAAATTGGGAATGGAATGGCTTCCACGGTCCCCTCCCAGGCTCACTATAGGATCAATAGGGTTTTCATCTGAAATGTCACCTTTTCTAGATCCCGGATTGTAAGCCTCGTCCTGATCTCCTGGCCGCAGCATCGTCAAGGATGCGGATAGATCGATGGAAATGGCTTGTTCAGTCTTAATGTCAGATGACCAGGTCCTTATGGTCAGTCCAGTCAAAGCCCTGTCCAGGGGAGGAAGGTTAGTCCCACAATCCATCAGAGGTGAGCCAGGACAGGAATCCAGAGGTCCCCATGCCCAGTGATCTTGTTCCCAGCTCTTGCATGTGATCATTGGCGCCCTTCAACGGCTCGGTCTTTTGTCACATTCTGGTTCGGACACATCAATCCGTGTAAACTTGAGAAGCAGAGAAACAGACAATCAGTGTATCTTCCAAGGCCCGCAATATAAATAACACAAGTAAGAGTCCTAATAATCCGTGCCGGTTGGCATTCATCTTTGGACTCACCATGTGAAATAAACCAAGTGAAGCCTGAAAGACATAAGATTACAGCAATCAGGATGCATTTGGCTGCAAGTAACAGAAACCGCAACTCAAAGTGTCTGACGCAACAAGGAAAGCACATTCCTTCACCCGATAAGAATGCCTGTAGGTTGGGAATTCAGCAGCTGGGTGATGATGTCAAGGGCCCAGAGTGTTCTCTTCTCTCTGCTCTGTGATCTTCAGAGGTTAGGGTTTGTCCCCGGGATGGCATGCCCCCGGGGTCATAAGACAGTTTCCACGTATGTGACATCAAGCAGAAGGGAGAGATGGTTTCAGAATGTTGCAAGAGCCCCCAGCAAGCTCCCCCCTCATCTCATTGGCCAGAATTGGGTCACATGCTACTCTTGAACCAATCACTGGCAGGCAAAGGAGATGGCTTAGACCAATCAGGATCCACCCAGGAACCACAGGCGAGGGGAGTGGACATTGGAACACAATCAGGGCTCTACCCCGAAGAAGGGGAGGGGTTTAGGGACAGGCGTCCAGCGGTGTCTGCTACAGAGGAGGCAGGAGTTCTAAGTTGCTCAGCCTGCAGATTTGCCTTCTTCTCCTGGGGAAACAGAAATTCTCAGATGGGAGCGTTTTAAAACTACAGAGGGGCGTGGGGGTCGGGGGGGGGCAGCCCTTAGAAATTAAGAACTTATTTCTTAGGAAACAGCATGCTTTATCCCTTGAGACTAATGATTCCTTCCTGTTCTTTATATTAAGTAAAGCATAATCTTTGGCAAAAAAACTTAAAATATATGAACGAGCAAAAAGAAAAGGAAAATCACTTACGATCCCAGAGATCACCCAGTTATCATCATTACTAGCATCTACAGTCTAGTCTGTTTTTCTTTACGCTGAGCTTTCTGCCCACCAGCCCAGCCTCTGGGGTCCCTGCACTCTCATCTCCCCTCAGAGTGGAGGGGAGAGTTCTTGAGGCTTTAAGATGTCAGCCGGCTCAGGAAAGAGGGGTCGGCGGGGTGGGCAGTGACCTCACATACAGGCTCTGGACTCGGGCCAGGTTGATCGGGGCAAATACCCTGTCGCTCTATGAGTCCCAGTTTACCCATCTGTGAGATCGGGAGTGTAATAGAAAAAGCCTTGTAGGGCTGCAGGAGGATTCCATAAAATAATCCATGTAAAGAGCTTATCACGGCACCTGAAAAATATTAGGTGCTTAAAAAGTTGCTAGAGCTTGCTTTTGTAATGTTCGATTCCAGTTTTCCCTCTTACCAGGGCTACAAGACTGCATTTGTTTTGTTATCTCTGGGGGCCAGGCCTAATCCAGGCCAGTGATTCAGGAGACTGTGCAAATCTGCCTAAATTATATATTGGGGTTGCACATTGAATGCTTGCTACTATTTGGCTGTGTGAAAAAAAATGTAATTTCTTTGTAGCCCTCGTGGTCTGACTTATGACGTCTCTCCCAACCCCTCCCACCCCCGACCCCACATTGGCAGAAAACAAAACAAAAACCAGAAAACAAAAAATTAAGCTTCACCCATGTTATGGGTCAAATTGGGCCCCCCTGAAATTCGTGTGTTGACGTCCTCACTCCCAGCACCTCAGAATGTGACTTGCTTTGGAGAGACCCTTTACGGACGTCATCGAGTTAAAATCGGATCATTAGAGTGGGTCCTGTATGACGGGTGTCCTTAGAAAAGGGGGATATTTGAGTGCAGACACGTACAGGGAGGTGATATGAAGAGATACTGGCAGAAGAAGGCCATCGACAAGCCAAGGAGAGGAGCCTCAGAAGGAGCCAACACTGCCGGCACCTTGACCTTGGACTCCCAGCCTCCAGAACTGTGAGACCTTACGTTCCTGTTGTTTAAGCCCTCCGCTCTGTGGTGCTTTGTGATAGCAGCCCTAGCAAACTGAAATAGCCAGTTCTAGCATTTTCGTTC